TGGAGTTAGCTAGTTAGGGCCCCTATTTATGTCCAGGAGACCAGACCTGGGCATTTGTAAAAGAACCGAAAATAGATGGATAGCTAAGAAGAAAACAAATGTTAAGATTATCATTATTTATAGCCCAGTGATTTAGTAATCTAAAAAAAAAAATCCAAGAACAACAAAAATAATCCTTAAGAAGGACAAGAATTTTAAAACATGCAGTTCAGAAAACCACATTTATCAGGCCTAGGGCTCAAGTAAAAAATAATCTGACATATGAAGTCTGGAACACCGGGCCTAGATTCTACTCCTGGCTCTGCCCTTCTGTGCCCTTGGGTAAGACATTGAACTTCCCCACGCCAGATTCATGTGTCTAAAGAGGGTGTAGGATTTTGTAGCCTTCCTAGTGAGGGCATGCTATTAATCAGAACCTTTACCAGCTCTAGTCTCACTATCCCAGTAAAATGATGTTAAAAATTAGACCTCATGGCATGAGAGAAGAGGGGAAATTAATTTCAGATTACAAAGAAAGTGTGGGATCTAAGTTTAGGGTGAGCTGTTTTACTGAACCTCTAGGGTTGGTCATAGCACCTGCCATATAGCAGGCATTCAATAAATGATGGGTGATGGATGGTTAGACTCATGGACAGGCAGGCCTTCCCAGTGATGGTAAAGGACCTGAGGCAAAAGAGACCTGTCGTTGAGTCCTGATCCCCACACATTAGCACAGTGGCTTGACAAAGTTATAAGCCTCAATTTCTTCCTGTGTCAAATGGAGGTAATACCTCATAGGGTTATGAGGATTAAATAAGAAAACGGTAGTTCCATGCCTAGAACACAGAAAGCACAAGGACACATTAAATATTGGTTATTATTATTTCTAATACTGTGATCATATCTTCCAGCCAAAGACTTCTCTGAGGAGCAGGGAGGATCCAGAGATAAGAAGCCTGCTGGTGGCAAATCTGTTAGCCTTTCAGGGTTAGACTTCTGCGGAACTCTGCACCTTTTTCGTGTCCTAGTTCTTGAGAGCGGAGACTCTACAGGGACCTGCGGTGAGGTAGCCGGTGGGAAGATGAGGTCCGGAAGTAAGGGGGTCCCTGCGAGCCTCAATTTCGGCCTCTTCTGCGCTGAGACCCAGGCAAGTCTTGCTTGGCCTGTGTGCACTACTGGGAGAAATGGACGTGGGCCTGAGGGCGCTGGCCCAGGGGCCGTCCAGCCGGCGGGGACACTGTAACTGTTGTTTGTCCTTCTGCAGGCGGGTAGGAGAAGCGGTGGCCAAAGTGGGAGTCAATCGCTGAGCGCAGTGTTGACCAGGAAAGTCTAGGCTCTTCCTCAATCTTCTGGCCAAACCCGGTGACCCGTTCGCACGTATTTAAGGCGTTTGCCCGCAGAACGTTATCATAGAATGTAGCCACCTTTCTTAAGATCCGGGAAACCAGAGGTCTCTCCATCAAGCCGTGGTAGAGGAAGTTCTCCTATGTCCATGTGACGTCTTTTGATTCAGAACAACTAATGTTAGATTTCTTGGGCCTTTCCACCTACTAAAGCGGTAGTCTTCCCTTTGTTTAGCTAAAATTGAGGCACGCAGGAAAATATTATTGGGGGCATGAGCCTATCAGTGTGTAAATGTATTTTTATGAAGTGCGCCTCTAGGGAGCCATTCAAAACTGACCTCTCAACCACAGAAATAGAAGAGATTTTGATAACATTGAGAAGCTGCCTTTTGGAAGGTAAATTTACAGCGGTCCTGGACGAAGGGGCTCGAGGGCGGAGAAGTCCAGCCAGGAGGAACTCATTCCACGCTGTATTTTTGCCGTTGAAAAGCTGTCTAATCATCGCTAACTGCTTCCTGCATAAGAGGTCTGGGAAGACTTCAGAAACAAGGCAAATGAAGACTTTTCACAGCCTCCTTCGGGGCTGCCGCTGCGGGAAGCCAAAGTTTTAGCACGCAGAGCAGCTGGAGAGGGCTGCTTTCAGGCAGTTCCACTGAGCAAAATAAATTCGTTGAATGGCATTAACGTTCTGGCTTTATATATCAGAGGCAAAAATTACTTTCGAGAAACTATGGACACTGGGCGTCCTCATTCATTTCCAAGGCAGCAGGGTATCTGCACTTGAGCAACCTATAAGACTCATGCCTCCTATCTCTCTCACCTCCTTTCTCTGTCAAGTGATGTCCTTTCCCAAGAAGGCGGCCAGAAAATGGACCCCACCAGGAGAAAAAGAAAAATGAAACGTAAATCAGCTTGGCATTGCTTGCGTCTTCCAAAACGCCGGGGGGAAAAGGCCATGGAGAGTCTATAGGTAATTCTTTTATACATAAAACATGTATACATATGTATGTATGTATACATGTTTTATATATACATAAAATAATTCATATGAATTCTTTTATCTGGGTCCATGTGACTCTGAAGCTGGAGACATTAAGCCATATGAATTATTTTATATATATAATATATATACACATATGTATACATTATATATATATATATATATATATATATATATATATATGTTTAAGAATTACCTATAGATATGTAGCTATGTTGAGCTGTGAAGCAATTCTCCATGCTTTTGTCTCCCGCAAGTTCCCAGGTGGAGGCCATAGTCATAGGTATTATAAGCCGCCTTAGTGACCACCAGGGACGGAAACCACTAATTACCACGTCTCCTTTGATCTCCAGGTGCCCTTTGGCCCGTGACACCAGAGGCTTTGGTATTGGCACTTTCCCAGAACTGGACCAGAGGAGCCAGTTCAAAGTCTGACTTCGGTCTGCATTTAACGTACACACCAACGTCTGGATCAGACTCCCCCGGTTTTAGAGAAGTGTGCTGATAGCTGTGCTGCTAGAGCCCAGCAAGCGCCCAGTGCGGAGCTGATTAGTTTCAGCAATTCGCCACCTGGGAGCTTTTGTTTAAATTTTGGGAGTAAACTGGGAAAATAAAAAAACCTCCGGGTCCACTGGCTCTCTCCCTTTCCCCACCTTCCTCTTTCGATTCGTTTGTGGGAGTTTTCTCCTCTTTGCTGGGACTAAAATGTGATGCGCAATCGTTTGTGAATGAACAAAAGTCCGGCAAGCGGGGAGACGAGGACAGATCGCTGACGGCAGACTGAGGGTGGGAGCAAAGGTCCGGCCTCCTAGGATAAAGGGGAGCAGTCCTTCCCGCCGCCTGGTCTCCATGGCTCCCTTCGTCTTCCAGGTAAGATGAATGTTCCTTCATCCATCATCCGCAGAGTACCCTCCCCCAGGCGAGCGTAGAATCTGCTCTCTGATGAAACCTATTAGCCCCAAACTGGGCTGCTTTGTGGAGCCAACCGAGGCTCTCCATTGTGGCCTTTGTCTGCAGAATTTAAGCATTTACATAATGCATTAGCACGGAACTCAGCACGGGGTGAGGACACCGCGTGCCAAGCCTGGCGTGGGCCGACACTTCAACAGCTCCCTCAACCGGCAGTTCCCTCGGACCACCCTCGAGGATGCGCTGGAATCGGGCTGCTAGGCGCTCGGGCAAAGAACTCAGCATCTCATTCAAGTACTTCTCCTTCCTTGGTCATCTCTGTGAGGTTATGCTTTAAAAATAAAAATAAATCTAAAGGGAGGGGTGCAAAGTTTCGGTTGGTGAACTGAAGCTGGATCCATGTGACCCTGAAGCCGCAGAAATAAACTTAACATGAATCTTGCTTTCCTGGCGGACGTTGGGACCCCGCCGTTTTTCAGGCGGACCGTTGGAAGCTTTGTGCTCAACGGCCACAGGTGTCTAGGAGCGCAGAGAGGCTTCGGGTTCGAATCGCTGGCGCGAGGGGCCTAGACTCGCGGGTAGCGACTCCTCCGCCCCCGCCCCCCCACCCGCCACCCGCCACCCGCCACAAACCCGCGCGCCGGCTGAAGGCATGGGGGGTTTGGGGCATTTGAAAAAAGGGGCCGGGAGCGGTGTCTCACGCCGGTAATCCCAGCATTTTCGGAGGTCAAAACGGGCAGATCACTTAAGGTCAGGAGTTCGAGACCAGCCTGGCCAACACCAGCCTGGCCAACATGGAGAAACCCCGTCTCTACTAAAAATACAAAAATTAGCCTGGCGTAGTGGAGCATGCCTGTAATCCCAGTTACTTGGGAGCCTGAAGCATGAGAATCACTTGAACCTGGGAGGCGGAGGTTGCAGTGAGCTGAGATAGCGCCACCGCACTCCGGTTCTGAGTGACTGAGCAAGACTCTGTCCAAAAAAAGAGAGAGAGATTCGGTCAGGAAAGAATCCGCAGGCATTCGAGGCGCTCGCACTTTGCCAAGTATATGCAACCTCTTTAGTAAGCCGAAGTCCCGAATAACCATCCTGTAGAGGGTGGTAGTCCAACTCAGAAATCTCGCCCAAAAGGACTTTCCACCAAAGACGTCCCTGAAGTGCCAAGAATGCGCCCCAGTCCCGACAGGTGCAGGACCTTTCGTGCTGCCACAACTTGGGACTCTACCTCCCTAAATAGGCCGCTTAATGGCCAGCAGTGCAACTAGGATCCGCGGCGGTAAAGAATCACTGTGCAGAACCCTGGAGCTGGGAGTCAGCCTGCCCGCTTCCAAAGAAACCACGGGCCGAACGCGGTGGCTCACTCCTGTAATCCCAGCACTTTGGGAGGCCGAGGCGGTAGGATCACGAGGTCAGGAGTTCGAGACCAGTCTGATCAACACGGTGAAACCTCGTCTCTACTAAAAATACAAAAATTAGCGGGGTGTGGTGCTGCGCGCCTGTAATCGCAGCTACCCGGGAGGCTGAGGCAGGAGATTCCTTTGAACCCGGGAGGCGGAGGTTGCAGTGAGCCGAGATCGCGCTACTGCACTTCAAGCCTGGGCGACAGAGCGGGACTCTGTCTCAAAAAAAAAAAAAAAAAGAAAAAAGAAAAAGAAAAAAGAAACCAAGATCCCGCGCCCTCCCCGCCGCGAGCGCTGCGCACCGGCGGCGCCCAATCCTTGAGCTTTCCGGGTGTGTGACGGCCTTCGGCTCCGCCCCCTCGACGGCCATAAAAAGTCTCAGCAAAGCGAGCACTTCCTAGCCCCGCGCGCGGCCCTGCGCCCCGGCACTTCCCCCAGGTGCGCCTATTCTCCGGCTCCTTGTAGCTCTGGTCTCACTGTCCCCGCCGTCAGCCGCCAGTTCCTTATCCTCCTTATTCCCCATTGTGGCTTGGCTGAGCCAGTCGCCAGGCCTCGCTGTCCTCCTCCTCTGCGGTCCTCTCTCCTCCGCAGCAGCCGTACTTTGCGCGGTACCTCACCTGGCCTGCAGGTGAGCAGCAGCGCAGCGCCCCTGTCCGGCGAGTTTACCTTGCCCAGCCCTGCCCTTGCCAGAGCGGCACCGGTACTTCTCCAAGACTCCCTCTTCCCTGCAGGATGAAGAATCCCATGCTGGAGGTGGTGTCTCTACTGCTGGAGAAGCTGCTTCTCATCTCCAACTTCACATTCTTCAGTTCGGGCGCCGCGGGCGAAGACAAAGGGAGGAACAGTTTATATGAAACCAGCTCTTTCCACCGAGGCGACGTGCTGGAGGTGCCCCGGACCCACCTGACCCACTATGGCATCTATCTAGGCGACAACCGTGTTGCCCACATGATGCCCGACATCCTGTTGGCCCTGACCGACAACAAGGGGCGCACGCAGAAGGTGGTCTCCAACAAACGTCTCATCCTGGGCGTCATTGTCAAAGTGGCCAGCATCCGCGTGGACACAGTGGAGGATTTTGCCTACGGAGCTAACATCCTGGTCAATCACCTGGACCAGTCCCTGCAGAAGAAGGCACTGCTCAACGAGGAGGTGGCCCGGAGGGCTGAGAAGCTGCTGGGCTTAACTCCCTATAGCCTGCTGTGGAACAACTGTGAGCACTTCGTGACCTACTGCAGATATGGTACCCCGATCAGTCCCCAGTCCGACAAGGTATGACCTGTGACACGCAGGGAAGTGGGCTCGGTGGGGATGCTCCCTCCCATCCCTGATGCTTTCTCTTCCCCGCGAGTAGGGATCTTCTACCTTGACGCCCCCCCCGCCCCCCACCAGCACTCCCATTCCATTCTTAAAGTTCTAGATTAAGTAAGGAAAGTTCTGGTGTTCCTAAGGTAGTCTAAGTAAATAAACAAATGGCAACGTGCCTTGTAGAATTCTCGAAATGCACAGAGAAAGGGTGTGGCAACGCAGGGCCACTTCTTTAGATTCCAGAGCTGCTCAGTATTGCTGCAGAAGTCACCAGGGTGTCCACCCACAATGTAGTTCAAATGACAAAGGGCAAGTGACTGGGGGCGGGGGATACAAGAAATCAGTCATTACTGCTTGCAACTTTAACCAAGAATTTCACTTGAAAGGAAGATGTCCAGAATTTATATTTAATCCTTAACACTATAAACAAAGTGAGTGCCTTTAAAATAAGGAAGCGTACAGTTTTGTCCCTCTGTAAGCTGCATAGAGGGATTTTTCATTGTTTGCTATAAGCTATCAAAATTTCTAGTAAAAGGGCCTTCCTGGTAGGTCCCTTGTTCTTGTGTTGGTGCTTCAGAGTGGTCTTTTCCTTGGTATTCTGATTTCTTTCTGGGTTGGCTTTCATCCCCATCTAGACTTCCTCATTGTTCAGCATCCTTTACCCATTAGCCCTCAAGGTAGATTAGATTGTTTATGAGTTCCCCAGAGATCAATACAATTAGTTTTCAAGACAAGATGTTAAATGTTGGAAGGTGATTTTTATGAGTAATTTGAAAAACAGTATTATAATAGAATATTATTGAATTAGCCACAAATGCAAAGGGGAAATGGATTTTAATTTCCACTTAAAACCTCTTAACTTTTAAAGATAGTTAATATTTTAAGCCTGCAACTTCATTTACAATTGGAAACTCTCTTGGCCTTCATTGTGCTTTTTAAAGAAGCTATTGTTAATGTTCACTCTTTACAGTGGAAACCTGGGCAATAACATCATAAGCTTTAGTGTTAGTCTTCATGTTTAGATATTTTGCAGACCAGAAAAATCTGCGTCCATTTTTTTCATGTAACCAATTTTTAATTGCTCCACACCTTGGTTAATTTTTTTGACCCATTTGGGAATATCTTATCCTCTGTGGGAGAGCATGGAAGTATTTTGCTTTTATAGATCGGTGTATGAAACTCCTTGTAGATTTTATAGAGCCTCAAAAGATTCCATCTAGGAATTCTTTTCCAAGTAAAATAAAAATACAGTTAGAGCACTGTGCAGCGATTCAAGAATCTCAGCTCTAGTCCAGGCCTGTTTAGAAATGAACTCCACCACATTTACAAACACTGGCTCCCAAAGTGTACAAAAGGAAACAGGTCAGATTTACTTAGGAACCAAGCAAATCATTTCTCTAAGGAAAAACAGTAATATTTCTATCCAGTAATTAGGAGTTACCCTTTCGTGGAACACATACAGCACTCCATTATATATTTCTACAGAAAAACAGTAACTAGTGCTTTTGTAAGGTAGTAAAATATTTAATCTGCATAAATAACTAGTTGGAGTAGTTTTTCATCTTTGGAAACTTTGTCAGGGTTTACAGAAGTAGAGAAGTGTTTTAATTGCTATTGCTGCATAGCACCTCTTGTGAAACTGAGTTTTGTCTTCACTTTGAATGGTCTAACAAACAATTTGGCCACAGAGTAGAGTTCCCGGGGGAAAAAGTTTTCATCCCAAATTTCCTAATCCTACAAACTGTTTTTGAACATCGCTGAGAGAAGTAGGTCATTAACACTGAAGGAAGGACTGGTTTCTACTTTTTAGAAACGTAAGAAATTATTTAATTCTGGGTCTGATTATTGAGTTCTCCATGTATGCAACTATTATCAACATGAAAGATGCAAGGTTACCTCTTACTTAACTTTGAGTTAATAAAAACTCTTAAGAACACACTATCCCTAAGGAAAACACTGCAATTAGTTTGCAGATGAATGAACTGGAAAAGAACATTTACTTCTTTGTGGTAATACTCTTTTTTACAAGTTTAGAAGTCATAAAATTATGGGATTTTTTTTTATATGGCTGTTGACAATCAGTATTTTGTAAACTAAAAATTCCTTTGGTTAATGACTATTACTATTCCTTATGCTCTTGCTACTATGATTTTTTTTTTTGCTTTGTTAATACTGCTCTCTTTTTTTTTTGCCAAAAATGATTGCAAATGACCCTTTTAATTTGTGTGGATTGAGTGCTCACAAAAGTGTTCCTACAGACTTCTTGACCCCTTCTAGAAATTTCCTACTGTTGAGCACCACTAAAGATGCCTGATGGTCTGCTGACCAAGTGAACAGGAACAGGGTATTAGACATGAGATGCTCCTTGAAAAATCTGCTTTTGTGGGAAATACAGCCCACAATGATTCTGATTGACTTATAAATTATCAAGGAAAAGATAAAATCAGGATGACTGTATTCACAACTTACTCATGTAGCAAAATATATGTCCTCCATTATTTGTCAACCTCCATTTCCCCCTATCCTGAAAACTTCAATTTGATCTTCACCACCTTAAAACAGTATACTTCTCAATGCCTTGCTAGATTATTAAAAAGAGACAAATAGTATGTTTGATAGAAAAATAGACCGATATCTAGATTAAAGAATATTTCACACTTGTTTAGGTAATTGTGTAAAAGTATCGATAGAGACAACCATGCTGTCAAGATGGTTTATTGAAACACATTGAACTTGTTCATTCTATCCCTGACAAATTTGGAGACCTAGCTGCGCAGTACCATGTAAGCCACTGTAGAAAACCCTAAAAGCACATACAATGCCATGTCTAGAAATAGAGCTTAAAATTAGTATGAATAGCAAAACCCATATAGAAATGACAGTCACTGCATTCTGGCATCAACAGCAATGTGGTAGAGATAATTGTCAACAAATACAGTAGTAATAATAATCATTGTAATAAATTATGATTATGTGGCACACAGAATACAGGGTACTTGTGCATGAAACATCTCAGTTAATCCTCAGAACAATCTGAGTGTTCTCATGGAGGAGTAGAAGAGGGTAGCCTGGATAGGCTAAACGACTTACTTGAGGTGACACAGCCAATAAGAAGTTGGAGCCAGGACCCAGACATAGGCCGTCCCTTCTAAGTAAAACTATTTCTTTAAGGAAAACATTACACGTATTAGAAGGATGTATCTCAGGGGTAGGGACAATAGTTGTTTTTATTTCCAGCAGCCAGTTATGTATCACAAAATCAATGGTGAATTTAACATATTTAGTTAGGGAATGGGATTTGATATTAAAATTAACTTCCTATGCTTGTAGATTTTGAGACTTATAAAAAGTTATCGTTGGTATCATTAGATTTTAGAATGGCAAATTGGAGGAATTCAATCTACCTTTAATCGGCTAAGTTCTATTATTTTTACTCAAGATTAGAGACCTCTTTTCTCATCTAATTTCAGAATATGCTATTGTTATTGATAAGCAGTTTGATGTTGTTTTAACCTTTAGTCCTGAATAATGTGGTTACACTTTCTATAGTTTTCAATAAATGCTGTATTTACATAGGCAACTGCCATTATTAACTTAGTTGCTGAAAGGATCATTTCTGCTACTATAGGGTATAGAATCAGAACTGGACTCTTAACGTTGTAAATTTTTTGTAAGTCATAAGAGAATTTCTAGTTCTTCTTGCAGACAGAAAATAGCTGGGAAAACTGGCTTTCTAATTGATATATGTGATTCTTCTTGGGTTTAGTCACCTTTCCTAATTTTCTTAAATTTTATTTTCCAGTTTTGTGAGACTGTGAAGATAATTATTCGTGATCAGAGAAGTGTTCTTGCTTCAGCAGTCTTGGGATTGGCATCTATAGTCTGTACGGGCTTGGTATCATACACTACCCTACCTGCAATTTTTATTCCATTCTTCCTATGGATGGCTGGCTAACTTCATACCCCCATGTCAGTGTGTGTATTCTGTGTGTAAATATTTTATATTTATAGAGCATCAATCAGTATAAGCATTATAGAGAAAAATGTGACCTGTAACACTGTGTTCTGGATAAAAATGTGATTAGGAATCACGCAAAGTGCTTACTGTGTAAGCCCAAGAACAACGGCTTTCTGAATCTTCTCAGGCAGTTCAGATTTAAAGCACCATCCAAACCACAACAGGTTGTGGTAGAATTCGGCAATATGAGAAAACCAGCCCCAAAGATGATAGCCACAGAGATTGTGTTATTTTTTTCCTCTTGTAATCGTTGTACTGTTAGGCTGAATTTGAAGACTGGAAGACTATATTGCGACCAATAAGTTTTTTGTAAATTTACTTTGTTTCACTGAAAAAAAAAATGGATAAACTTAAATTAAACTGAAAGTATTTTCCTCATTCAAATAAAAAAATGTTTGATGACTGGTCAAAAAATAAGCTCAAAATTATTTTTTTCATGTAGTATTCATCCTGAATAAGTTGAATGTTTCATTTTCATTATGTGAAATCAATATTGACAAATAGTACTTTAATGATAAGGTAACTGACCAGAAAGTATAGAAATCTGTGTTTTCCTGTAAAAATAGTGACTATAGTATCACTTGAACATTGACTTGGTTTTACTTACTAGGAAGCCTGGAATTCATTATTTTTTTTTCCTTTTATGTGTCACTCTGGTTACTTTAAATCACTCTGAGATGTAAATGGATATAGGATTGAAGTTATGTGGGTATTTGGCGTGTGTGTGTGTGAAATAAATATGCACATAGTCATATACACAGACTGAGAGACAAATTGTTCTTGATTGCTTTATTATCATCATACTAGTGTGGTTATTATAGAGCATCTGTAGAGGTGATTGTAAAAGTAAGTCCAATCTATTTTCTTATATCTCTGAATTTGTAGTATTAACTTGCATCTATGATATTGGATGGGTTGTCTTTTAAAGCATTTACTAACGTATTGTGAAATTTTTAAAAACCTTCAGATTTGTTTACTAGTCACTTTTCTCCATATCGTTTCTAATTATAGTTTATATCCTTAAACGAAGGATACCACAGCAGTATATAAAGCCCAAACAAGCAGAACCCAAATAAAATTATTAGAAATAATTTTAAAGTAGCTTAGTACTGCCAGTCATATAAATTGATTTTGCTGAAGCTCTTATAAGAGTTGAGATATAGCAATTTTAAAACAAGCATTCAAGCACTTTTGCAAAATTACCAAATTCTTAAAATGAAACCACAGCTAGACTTGCATTTCAAGTATTAAAATTGTTTTATCAACTGTCAAGAATCATAAAATAACAAATCGTATTATGAGTGAATATGGTGGGGAAGGTGGGACCAATCAATGATTCAATCAGAATAAATTTTAAGAGCAGATCTTAGATTAACTTATGTTTTATCACCACTAATTTGCCCACAACAAACTTAGTGTTTAATTTTTCAAATTAAAAGTTGAATGATTTAAGTCTTTAAAATAATTATAACATTAAATGGCACCACCACAGAATACAGGTTTTCTCTGGACCTATTCCAAACACTTAAAATTATCTTAAGTATGCATACATAAAAGCAACCACTATGAGAACTACTGTGTTAGTGGTTTTTCACTTGCTGTATATTATTACCCTTGTAGGAATAGTTTAAGTAAATTCATTTTTTTTTTTTTTTTTTGAGACCGAGTCTCACTCCATCACCAGGCGCCAGGCTGGAGTGCAGTGGCGTGACCTCGGCTCACTGCAACCTCTGCCCCCCGGGTTCAAGCAATGCTCCTGCCTCAGTCTCACGAGTAGCTGGGACTACAGTCGCGCTCCACACGCCTACCTATTTTTTTAAAATTTTTAGTAGAGATGGGGTTTCATCATGTTGGCCAGGATGGTCTAGATCTCTTGACCTCGTGATCTGCCCACCTCAGCTTCCCAAAGTGCTGACATTACAGGCGTGAGCCACCGTGCCCGGCCTCATTTCTTAAAAATATAGTATCCTCAAATAATTTTTGCAAACTTTAGTTATTACAGGCAGCAAAAGCCACTGTCTGAAATTAAATCTGTGTTTAAAGATAAAGACCCCTTATTAAAGCCAAAGGTGTTCTTAAGATTGGAATTGACATAATTAGTCTTATTTCATTAAAGCAAGATTCAATTCATTGCTCATTTGAATACTCATTGTATGCCAGGCATTGACCAGTTGCAATTTTATGGTCCAGAGTTAATATTATTCATATAGTAGCCATAATAGAGTATATACAGTGTTGTGGGAATACAGAAAAAGAAGCAATTAAATCTGCCAGAAGGGTAAGATAATTCTTACCTGCAGGAGGCAATGTTAGCATTAAGCCAAGAAATAGTGTAGGGTGATCTTATCACACTGATGTGTTCAACTGTTTATGGGAAGGGGAAACTAGAGGGATGGTTTTATTTGTGAAATGTTCTACAACGCTAGAACTGTTGAACTTCTTGGGAGAAAAGGAGTTTTTGTTTTGTTGTGCTCAGTTTGCTTAGTTGCTAACAAGGTAGAAAGAAAAGCACATCTTCCTGGTCACAGTTATAAAAGAAAGCCTGAGCCATTAATGGGTCTCCTAACTTGAGGCAGTTCATGAATTTCTCTGGGCTTCATCAGTTAAGATTCATCCTTATGCTCCTGCAAGTCCCTTATATTTCTATATTTCTATTCTAACTTCTGAGATGATAACTTACTAGTGTCTGATGAAGTTTTTTTCTTGCTTATTTTATTCTTTGTCATAGATGAAGGCAGAATAGGACTAACTGTGTCAGACAGCAGGCCGGTGTTAGGGATGAAATGATGAATGAGGCATGGACCTTTTTCTCAAAGTTTATGGCCTAGTAGACATAATCGTATTAGGACTCTCTGTAGTTGACATTTGCATAAAGCTGACTGAAGGCACAGAAAGTGAAACAGTTGATTTTAACTGATAAGGTCAAATTTATACAAATCATGTCCCAAGACTTGGGTGATATTTTCCAGGAAACAGATTTCAGGCAGGACATCCCATGCATTGGAAATAGCATGAGCAAATGCATGAAAATTGCCCACAACATGCCTGGCACGTAGCTGTGAGGTACCCTACTAGTTGTTGACTTGAAAACATGGAACTGCGCAGGGCATTCAGGCAAGTGCAAGTGCTTCAGGGGCCAGAGCAGAGCAAGAGTGGTGAGCAAAGATGTCAAAAAGGAAAGCAATGGTCAGGTACAAGTCTTGTGTGGATCAAGAAGTTTAGACTTTTGAACAGGCAATCGAGATTTGGGGTTCAGAAAGATAAATCCCAAAAGTACGGAGGACAAAGGGACTCATTTAAAGGACTAGCTAAGGTGCTCAATCTCTTAAAAAAAAGGGGGGGGTCTGTATTTGTGAGAGTAGAGAGCAAACATGTTAAGGAAGAGTCAACTGACTTTAGCGAAATCCTTTTATTTGACTCATGCGTAACTCTTGACGGAGTGTTAAGGACGAATCATTCACTTTTCTTTCCTGCCAGAAAGTGGGTTCTTGCATAATAGATTAACTTGGCGTCTCTGTGTATATTGGATATTCATGATTTTTGCTCTGTTAGATATGTTTCTTTCTAAGGACAAGCAAGTATGTATGGATTTGTTGTTTAAGGTTTTTTTTTCAGTATATATATGTTTCTTATTTTTCCATTTTCTACTTCATACTGTAATGTCAAATATCAAAAATGTTTTCCAGCAATATCATGTTATGGCAACGACAAAAGTCCTTCATTGTAGATGAGAAGCATATAAGAAACTGTTGCCAATCTTTGTTTTGTATGATCTATTTAGCATTTTAAACAACCTAGATCTGTCAGCTAAGCTAATTTTATATTTGGTATACATGCATGTCAAATAAAGTCAATTTTACATACTGTCCTCTCTTGTCTATGAATTTTAAATACATAAATGTAGACTACAAACTATTTTTCAGCATGGTAGCCTGAAGAGTTTTGCTTCTCCAAATTTCCTTTACAGATTACCAAACACAGTTGTATGCATTTGAAGTTAAAACTTTATGTGGCTCTGTCTTCAGACTGATACGATCTATGTTGTCTATATCTTGATGCCTACCTTGATTATGTAGGAATAGGTTCTGTGCAATGTTAAATAACATATCCCTTCTCCATTCCACAAAATTAAGTAACAATGACAACAAATAATTAGTCATAGTATGAACTCTATACAGTTAACCCTTGGACAAAACAAGTTTTTCTCTTTTTTTTTTTTTTTTTTTTTTTTTTTTGAGATAGGGTCTCTCTTTGTCTTGCAAGCTGCAGTGTAGGAACACAATTGTAACCTCAAACTCCAGGACACAAGCGATCCTCCTGCCTCTGCCTCCCAAGTAGCTGAGACTATAGGTGCATGCCACAATGCCCAGCTAATTTTAAAATTTTTTGCAGAGAAGGAGGCGAGGGAGGTCTCACTATGTTGCCTGGCTGGTCTTGAACTCCTGACTTTAACTGATCCTCTCACCTAAGCCTGCAAAAGCACTGGGATTATAGGTGTGAGCCACCAGGCCCAGTGAAAACATAGGTTTTAACTGGGTGAGTCCACTTACATGCAAAATTTTTCAACCAAATGTGGATAGAAAATAAAGGTACTCCTAGGATGTGAAACCTGCTTATATAGGGAGGACTGACCTCTGTATATGTGGGTTCCAGTTCCTGCAGGGAGTCAGAAGAACCTGTATCGCAGTTGGGTTACAACAGGGCATTAAGAACAGTCACTTGAGATTATATTGTTCTTTTGAGAGAAAGGTGCCAGTCCTGCCACAAAGAACTCACCATTACTTTGGAGAAGAACGAGTCTGACTCAGATGATGCTGGAGACAGGAGGTAAGTTCACAGAGGGCTTTGCATTGTGAAATTTTGGAGTGGAAAGCAAGCATTTCCCAAACTTTTCAACTGGCTCTGATGAGTATCAGGAGCATGTGATTTTGTGAAACACATGAAGAAGAGGTATGCAGTTGGTTTGTAAGGAAAATAAACACTCTTTTTGGATCATTTAAGGTTACATGGAGAAGTGGAAAGTACAGAAATCACTTCAGCACTCAGCAGATGGTCACTGCTATCTTTTTAGCTCGCAACTGTTCTGTGTCCCCAAACAGCTCTAGTGGTATCTTCTTCTTGAGTCTAGATTCTGGTGCAGCTGTTTTTTCCCCATTGAGCTTGTGATGGCTACTCGCCTGGT